TATCTTCCCTGGCACAGAAGTTAAACTAACTGGTCTGTAGTTTCCTGTCTGGGGGGCTGTGGGCAGGTCTGCTCCTCTCTGTGCCCCTAGCTGCTCTGTGGGGTAAAGCTGACATGGCCCTGGGGCTGGGTGGGAGGCTTCATTCAGCGTGCAGAGCGCAGCGTGAAGCTGAGACGTGCTGAGCTAAGCAGACTTTGCAGCTGGCCGGCCCTGCTGCTGGACCACATGGGTGTCGGCCTCAGAAAAGGGCCAGATCCAGCCACAACCACCCAGTCCCCAAACCCTTGTCTGACCTCTCTGGCTCATGCTTCCAGGGGCCCCAGTGCAGAGCTGTGTCAGGGCCGCAGGCTGTGTGGGGAGCCAGGCGGCTGGTGAGGGGCATTTTTATCCTTGTTGGAGTAATGAGGAGCTCCTGGTTTTCCTCCTTTGAACCCCAGCCTCATGCCCACCCCTCCTCGCTGCCACTTCCTTCCCGCCAGCTGTTGGGGACGCAGTGGGATGGGATTCCCAGTGGAACCAGCCAGAGGCACGCCCAGAGCTCCCGCCCTGGCCCAGGCACTGAGCGTGGGCCGCAGGGTACAGACCTCACCCGCTGGGACAGCCATGAACCGACCCTGCCTGCAGCCAGCTGGAACTGCTGGAGCCAGGGCAAGCCAGCAAAGGGGACCCCTCCCCGAGGGCCACAGGCAAAGCAGCTGAGGGTGAAGGATGGTTTTATGAGCAGCCATAATAGCTTCAACCCGAGGCCAACTTTTCCTGGCGATCGACTCCACAGCTTATCTTTATGAGGCCCCTGACACTGTAACAGCCGTGGCCGCTGCTGGGATCCCGCCTCCTTTCCCAGGGACGTGTGGAGGAACCCCGTTTCCACTCGGGCCAGCCCACGTCGCTCTGTGCAGGGCAGCGTCCAGAGGCAGGCCGACGCTTGCACAGGGGGTTCGGCCTCTCGGGGGACAGCGTCAGCAGTGTCTGTGTATCCCTCCCACCGCTGCGGACTTCTCCTGGGCCGCCCAGCCCGGCCTGGCCCCCCCCTGCAGTGGGTGATTTGCACCCTTTGCACAGGGAAGCTGTCACCAGAGCAGGCCTGCTGTAAATCAGGGCTGTTTACCACCCTCTCCTCTGAGCTGGGCTCCAGTGGGAAAGAGGAGAAGGGAGCAGAGGAGTTGTAAATCATCCCCTACCCAGTGCAGGGCCAAGGCAGAGTTCAAGGGATACGTCCACTGCAGGCAAAGGAAGACGTGAGCATAGGCTGTATGAGTGCTGACACTCCTACCTCAGCCCCTCACCAGGGCCCTGCCCTCTGCCTGTGGAGTTTCTGCCCAGCTAGCCCCACCCCTGTGCAGCATTGGGGATCCCCCTGAACCCCAGAGTCCTTCACTCCAGCTGCCCCGGCTCCTCCTTGGAAGAGTCGCTGCGTCCAGTGAAAGAATCCGGGCACACAAAGGCTCAAGGAGGCAGAGGCTGAAATGAGACAGGGGAGGGAGCAGTGGGTGGCAGGGAGTTAATTCCTTCCTTTCTCCAAGGTCACCAGGCTCTGGGAACTGAGACTTCCCAGGACGCCAGGGAAAGGAGCGGTCTAGGCTGGCGTTAACCCTCTGTGGAGAGACGTACTGGCCCCAGGAGGGAATAGCAGAGTTACAGGGAACGTTTTATTAACTTTCACTCAGCCTCAGCACCGGAAGGCCAAGCAGGTTCACCGGACACACCCCAAACCTGCCGCCCTCTCCCGGGAACCGACTAGCTCCCAAGGTGACCTGCTCCAGCGTGGCCTGGATCTCCCCTAACCCTCAGGCCGGATTCTCCCCTAGCTACCACAGCTTCAGCGGGTGCAAAGATCTGAGTGGGGACGGGGAAGAAAGGGGTGCAGGATGCTGACTATAACTGGCCTTATCAGACATACCAGCACTAGAGGTAAAGCAGGGCTGGGAGATGAGAAAGAGATCCAAGGAACACATTGATATCTCCGTTAGAGGAAGCAGCATTTGCTGCAAAGAATATCGCTCCGAAATCTCTGCTTGGCAAGGAGCTCCCACCCCATATGTTGTTGCTTTGTTTTGATTTGAGCATTTATTTATATCCCACCAATGCTTTCTTCCAGGGGTTTACTTCAGGGTAAGTCCGAAACACGCAGCAGCAAACTAGTTATTACTCAACACCAAGGCGGGATCAATATCCACCGGGGTATGGAAGTGAGGGGGATTAGCACAGCCGAGATGCTCAGGCGATACACGGTTTCCTTCCAGAAGGCTTTGAGGAAAGGAAGAGTCTTTTAAACCACAGCACCTGGATAGCTCAGCCTCTTCCCCGCCTCGCGGAAATAAAAAATGGTTAACAAGATAATGCATTTAGTTTTCTCAATGCCAGTTAAATATATAAGACCCAGAGGGGCTGCAGAAAAATATACTTAATCTGCATATGTAAATGAAACAAAGAAATTGAACATCAGGCTTTAATCTAACATGTTTCAAAATATCTTCATTAACATGCCCTGACTAGCAGGTCAGTACCCCGAGGGCGGTCCGGGAGGATTCCAGCAGGAAATGCAGCTGGAGGACACATCCAGGCAGGAAGGTGAGCGCATTACCGGGACATGGATGCCACGCTAGAAAGCAAACCCCAGAAAGCTCCTGGGAAGGCAGGAAACACTATTTCACTAGGAGGGTGGTGAAGCACTGGAATGCGTTACCTAGGAAGGTGGTGGAATCTCCTTCCTTGGAGGTTTTTAAGGCCCAGCTTGACAAAGCCCTGGCTGGGATGATTTAGCTGGGGATTGGTCCTGCTTTGAGCAGGGGGTTGGACTAGATGACCTCCTGAGGTCCCTTCCAACCCTGATAGTCTATGATTCTAAGGCCGGACGTTCTTTGTGCATCTGCCTGCAGCTGCAGTGCTGGTCATCCTAGCTTGACATGTTAGGTTTCCACCACGCCTGCTTCATTCCTTTGTGTTTTGTTATCCCCCCCGGCAGAGACAGAGCATTGTAACTAGTTGAGCTGTGTGGTAGCCTCACTCAAGAGACTGGAAACTATTTTATGTCCCATTGCAGCTTTCCTTTTTAATCTCAAGGGAAGTTAGTTCAAATCCACCATGCTGTGAGAAACTGGCTCCTTTCTAGCACTGAACAAACATGGTCCCTTTCCCGCAAAGGGCACTCACCTCAGTAATTCAATAAAGATCTGCGTGAGGAATGCCAATCTGGCCAGAGTCTCAAAGGCGGAATGGTTGCCTGTGAACAGAGCAGCCACCTCCTGGGCACTCCCTCATGGGCTGAGGTCACGCTGCTGGCACCCTGCCTCGGTTTCCCCACTTTCAGGACTCGCTCGCTCGCTCACTCAAGCTACCCAACAAACTCTTCTCTGGTTCAGCCACTGCCCTGCCCCCCAGGCTGGGTTTATTAAAAGAACAAGACCATTCCCAAAACAAAGTTTCTTAAAATCCCCACCAAGCCTGCACTCCCCATCTTTCCTATGATGACGGGGGGGGGAGGGGTGTCACCCAGGCTCTCCCGGCCTGCAGCCTCTTTCTGAGGAGTCAGGACGCCCTACGGGGAGCCTACTCACTGCCCCCCTCACCCTAGTTCTCTCTCCCTGGGCCTCCCCCTCTGTGCAGTTCGGGGAACCAGCCCCTCCCGACTCAGCTGGTTCTGCTGATTAATCTCCCAGGTGTGACAGGCAGGGCTAATTAGATGGGTCACACAGGCCTGGTCCAGCTCTTAAAGGGCCAGGCTGCCCCAGCACAATGCAGAAGCATTC